TCTGTAGAACTCTGACTCCCGGTGTCTCTGTTTTTTTTGTTTTGTGTCTTTGTTTTGTCGCATGTAAACAAATCGAATGATGTAGATGCCTCCTGGGCCAACTGGTAACACCATGTGTAATCCCTCTAAATTTGGAGCGGCTTCTCTGGGTTACATGTAGGAGACTTTATTATACTGTTGTTTTTTATTTATACTTTTTTATTTATAATTGTGAGAAAAGTGAGCTATTGGAATTAACCAGTCAACTTGCTTGACTCGCAGGTTCCCACGATGTGTGACATTTGCAGGGGTGTGCTAATTCCTCTGCAACCTACGCTTACCTGTAACACCCTTCAGAGACATTTACATCTGTCTCCGGAAAAGCACAATTCCCGCTTTACTCAGACAGGTTGTGTGGCAGTAATATCATAGCATTCTAGTATGTTAAAAGCACAAAAAAACACAATATCCCTCCCATGTCTTGTTGAAAGCTGCTGTTGTATGAGATACAACAAAAACTTTATATTTTACTACTTCTATAATAGCTGTAATGATGCATCCTCCTCAATCCGTATCTAGTTTTCTTTTGGGACTTTTGCTTGTGCACAATGCTACAAGATGCAATAGGCACATGAACGGTGGAGATACTACAGTTTGTTTTTTTTGTTCACTGAAGACATTTGGGTTTAAGATCAAAAGATGAGTATGAGACAGAGTTCAAAATTTCAGTTCTCATTTCCTGGTATTCACATCTAGATATGTTAAACAACTCAGGACATGCCATCCTTTGTTTGAACTCACTCATTTTTCAAGTGAGCAAAACTATTGGAACATGTGACTGACGGATGTTTCTTGTTGCCCAGGTGTTGCCTTTTAGGTTGATTATTCAAACATTAAATAGCTCTGCATGACTAGTCTAAGTTTACATCCTTGGTTCAAACCTATAAAGACTGCATTTCCTGTTAAAGAGGATAAACCAACATGAAGACCAGAGAGCTGTCTATGGGAGAAAAGCAAGCTGAGAATTGTCAAGCTGAGAAAAGAAGGAAAATCGACCAGAGCCATTGGACAAACATTGGGCATAGCTAGCACAACAATTCAGAATGTCCTGAAAAAGAAACTACTGGTGTACTGAACAACAGACGTCGAACAGGTCGGCCAAGGAAAACCGTAGTTGATGACAGAAATATTATGAGAGCTGTGAAGAAACCCCCCAAAACATCAGTAAGTGACATCACCAACGACCTCCACAGTGCAGGGTGAAGGTATCACAATCCACTGTTCGAAGAAGACTCAGAGAGCAGAAATCTAGAGGCCACACCACAAGATGCAAACCACTTATTAGCAGTAAGAATCGGAAGGCCAGTTTGAAATTTGCAAAGAAGTACAGAGATGAGCCACAAATTCTGGAACACAATCTTATGGACTGATGAGACCAAGATTAATTTCTACCAAAGTGATGGAAAGGCCAAAGTGTGGAGAAAGAAAGGAACTGCTGGAAGCATGGTGGAGGTAATGTCATGGCTTGGGGTCATTAATATTTATTGTTGATGGTAGCAGCAGAATGAATTCAGAAGTGTACAGAAACATTTTGTCTACCAATTTACGGAGAAATGCATTGAAACTAATCGGGAGGAAGTTTATCATGCAGCAGGACAGTGACCCAAAGCACACTGCCAACAAAACAAAGGACTTCATCAGGGGTGAAAAAGTGGAAGGTTTTAGACTGGCCAAGTCAATCACTTGACCTTAACCCAGTAGAGCTGCATTTCACCTCCTTAAGAGAAGACTGAAGGGAGAAACACTCCGAAACAAACAAGAACTGAAAGAAGCTGCGGTAAAAGCCTGGAATAGCATAACAAATGAAGAATGCAACAGTTTGGTGATGTTGATGGGTAGCAGGCTTTAGGCAGTTATTGCAAGCAAGGGTTATGCCACCAAATATTAAATGTTATTTGCTTGAAGATTATTTGTTCCATTACTTTTGCTCACTTAAGAATGTTGTGGTCTAATACAAACGGTGATATGTCCTAAGTTGTTTAACACATCTAGATGTGAATACCAGGAAATAAAAGCTGAAATTCTGAACTCTTGTCTCATACTCATCTTTTGATCTTAAACCCAAATGTCTTCAGTGAATAACAGAAACAAAGGAATTTGCTTTCTGTTCCAATACTTTTGGAGGGGACTATAAATCAGGATGTGACGTAGGGTCGGCAGCAGACTCTAAACAAACAACAATTGCAGAGTATTGAAGTGAACCTTAAATGCCGCTAATCTGACACAACAGATAAATAAAGATGTCAGTCAATCAGACAGGAATTTGTTTCTGATGGGAGAGGCTGTTGATGGTCTTTTGAAGCCAGTCGAGATTAAAGCGCGTTGAGCAGGATGATTCCTCCTCCTGCAATTATTCCGTCATCTCGCATAAACGTCTAGACGTACTTGCGCATTGATGTCACGCTACCTTGTGGGAAGTTAGGCTCCCACGTAAGACGCAATGAGGTGTTTCAGTGTCATTTCCTCTCTGTGGAGCATATACAGTTGGTAAACAAACACGCACTTTTGCATACTATACTCTTGGACCCTCATTGATGTAAATGCATGTGGCTCACTTCTCTCAGTCTACCTTCTTTGTCCACTCAACCCCTGACCATCTGAAGGCCAGAGGTGCATTCCTCAGCTGTGTGTGTGTGTGTTCCTATCTCTCATATCTTTTCTAAGACCAGTGTTCAACTTGAAAATATGGTGATCTAAACCCCCAGATGCAACATTACAATACTCTACTTGTTCAGATATGTCAGCCATCATTCTATCGGTCTGTAAATCTGACACATGAGAGACGAGAGGAGGAAATCATGACCCTAAACACTAACTCTTGTCACCAAAAGTGCGTTGCAAGCATTCACAAATTTTGCCTTGTGATAAAGTTGCCTAATGGTATCCTGTTTGCTACTGTAGAGCTGGAGATTATCTCTCTTGTTGTGTCTATAGGTTTGCATACTTTTATGTTGTCTCTTTTTCTGCAACAGGATGGCTAGGGACAAGATAAAAACTTTCAAGCGTTCAGCTATACTCTGTGTGTGTGTGTGTGTGTGTGTGTGTGTGTGTGTGTGTGTGTGTGTATGTTGCTCCGTGTTACCCATTCTTTAAAGAATTGTAGTCTACATTGTGTGCATGTCTGATACCATGACATGAAATATCTCCCAGTGAAAAGTTTCATACATTTCAAGATATTTAAACTGGTTTGCAAAACTGGTGCCATGTATCAAAGAAATTATAGAACTTTTCAGACCCCAGTTTGTGGAGGCTGAAAGTGCTGGTGCGGGAGGGAAGCAAACAGCAGAGAGCCGAGTTGTTAGCAGAGGAGTGAAAGTGTCTGGTGTCTCTGTGTTTACTGCCGTGGCTTGTTAACTAACAGACTGATGGATTGACGGTAGGAGGAGACATCCTGTTGACTCACACTGTGGGTTGCCCTGATGGGGGGCAGTTTGGCTTCTCCGGAGCTCTGTTTGCCAAACGCTAACTCACACATATACACATAGCTGTGGTGAACTGTGAGTTAAAGTGAGTGTGTTTTGCTGTGAGCCTGTCCTGTTTATTCAGATGTTTTCCCATAGCCGCTGTAAAGCATGGAGGGTGGATCACATTCAGACTCCGCCAGGCTGTTTAGTCTGTCGTGTTTCTACAGGTCACTGGGTGGACATGTGCACACGTACGTGCACACAGAAATACTCCTGTGGTATCACCATGACATATTGGCGTCCTGACAAAATGTTCTCATGCACCAACCACACATGTTCTTCTTGATCATTGACAACCTGTTGTATTATGCTTCAGGTGTTTCTAGCTTTTGTATGTCTAAGAAAAATGTAAATTGAGTATTTTTTTTGTGTGCAGTTGTCTTGATGTCCAATCATTTGATCTGACAGTGTTGGAGGTTTTTTAACAATGGTGCAGGATGGATCACCTCACCACCATTTACCTCTGTTTTTCGACTCTATTTTAAGTCTCGGCTTGTCTCCGGTCGTGATCTTGCAATTACAGCACTGATCTTGTGGTTTTGTCTGCAGGCGCACATTAATGTCATGTTGGCCCACAAAATCCCATCACTCAGCATTCACATCATTCTGTCTGTTACACAAGGATGAACGTCACCTGTTTGGCGCTTTGTGCTTCACTTTGAGTCACACTCAAAGGGTGTTTTGATGCTTTCTGCTCATGTTTACATTTGCTTCCCTTATTACTCAGATGTAGTAGGACATCTGTGTCTTGTCCGTGTGTGTGTGTGACGCACACTCTGCATGTGTCTTAGTTTAGCCACACTGACACTTTGGCCAGTTGCCCAGGGAGGGTGTGCAGTTTCATCCCCTGTTTTGTGTCTAAATGTTAGTCGGTCAACATTTTAATTTCTGTCTTGCATTTCTTGATATGCAATGAAGGTTGAGTTCAAGGGCAACTGGACTTGGTTGAAGATACTAGAAGACGTTGGATAACTATGATCTGGATGACTGAGAACCTTCACAGACATCATGTGTTTCTTGATGTTTCGGATTTCCTTCTGCTACAACTGGAGAAGAGTAGTCCGGCCGGCAGAGTGATGCAAGAAGAAGAATAAACTGGTCTTTGAGGCAAACTTGGAATTTAGCATCTGGTAGAATCTTAGCATTGGATGTGTGTATGTAGACTGATATTGTCAGTTTCATTTTGATGTTTTCCACCTTTTAGTCTGGCATATAACAAAAAACATGGGCAGAAATGGTCTTTTTTATCACACAGCCACACCCTGTCTCTCTCCATACTATTCATGTTTTCTGTGGAGTGATACAAAATCCTTTCTTTGGAGAAGTGAAAGTCTGGAGTTCATAGGATTAGTTGCACAGAAAGAAATGTCCTTATTTATTTTTGCTGTGAAAGGGTTTTGGCCTAAATGAAAGGGAAGTGAAATGCAAGAATCTATCAAACAGGCCTGCCATTACTCATGCATTTTGAATTTAATGTTCTGTTTCTTTGTCTGTCAGGCCAGAAACAAAGAGACAGGAGCTCTGGCTGCAGCCAAGCAGATCGAGACGAAAAGTGAGGACGAGCTGGAGGACTACATCGTTGAGATAGACATCCTGGCTAAATGTGACCACCGCTACATTGTCAAGCTGCTTGATGCATTTTACCATGAGAACAAACTGTGGGTAGGTCAAACACACATCTGGTTAAGACAACCAGCTTCAAGTGTAAACCACAGACTTGTCAACTCCCCTCTCTTCCTGTTTCATTTTTCCTTAACCTAACACTATTAAGCAAGTCCGCCATTAAAAAATATAGCCATATCACTGTCTGAACATTTTAGCACTTGAACTGATTAGAAATATGGTCACATTTTAATCTTGCGAGATCTCGTGGCACGATCTTGTCACACACCTACATACAGCCAAAGAATATTATTACAGATTTGGTCCAGATCTCGCACAGTTTATTTAAATGAACTGCCAGTATGCGGCTACATGGGAACACTGTGGTCAGGACTGCTGTTGTATTAGACTGCTTTCAAAGGGACCTTATCTGGTATCTACACTGTTACCCTCCTCACAAGATGTACTGTTTTCACTGCATTGAGGAGTTTCTGTGTCTGTCCATCAAGTTTTCTTTGCAACCTTTCCAAACAGCCACAGCACACAAACCTGAGCGATCAGCGGGGGGAGTGCAAAAACAGACCTTTCAACCATATATGTTGGCAGGATCATGGGATGTTCCATTTCAATCTGTGACTGCCTTGTTATTTTTATTGCAACAATATCTCATCTAGAGTATATTTCTCCTACATATGAAAGCTTTGTTGGGGAAGAAAAAAGGAAAATTGAATTGCCTAAATGGGGATGACACAAGACCCCCAGGGTGATATAACGCATCAGAAATGACCCACTCCTCACCCTGATATTCCGCAGGAACGAAGATTTCAGTTCAGTGTTTTCTGCTCTTGAGTTATTTTTCCTCTCCACACTCGCTCACTGGGTCAAGTGTAAACTTTTCAACTCCCTCTGTAATCTCCCAGTCTATCTGGCCAAGAAAAATAAAAGTGACCTCATGCAAGGGGCATGGCCTTGAGTATCTGAGGAATTACAAGGCAGCATTAAGACTAAAGATAGTTGTAACTCTACTTGTGAAGTTGTTATAAACAAAAGATTTAAGAGTTTAAATTTAAGGTGTATGTTTTTATACAGAAATGTATTTAAAAAAGGAAATTCATTCATGTTTTCCAGTGTTTTTTGTCTTCAGTTGTTTAAAAAAAAAAACAGATTTCAGTCCTGGTTGATTTGGCAACACCCGTGGTACAGCAAACACTCATTTAGCAGCTACTTTGTCAGAAATGGAACAGAAGAACAGAAAGACTGGTTTGTTTACAACTCAGCCAAAGAGACGCCCATTGTTTTAAAAAAGAGCCCAGTCAATAATTGCAACCGTAATCAGATTTCATGATGTGCATAGTCCATACCCAGTTTGGTTTGTTACCTTGTGCAGCAATGGCGGACTCCGCCACTAACAATAAAAACTGCTATAGAAAGAGATTATGTCTCGATGTAAATGCATTGTATGGCTATTGTAGAAAATAAGCTTATTATAAATGGTATAAAAAATGGGTTTTGACTTCATGTACAAACACCCCCCCTGCAGCATTTAACCACATTCTTCCTGTGTGCAAGTGATGCTATTAGCTGTCAGCTTTCTCACGTCCAAGCTGTGTTCACGAACTATTCTCTTATTTTAGATCTTAAACATATTTCCTGTCAATCTCTTTAATAATCTGTATTTAAAGAGCAACCAGGATTTTCTCAGTTTGTATAAAAATGCACCGTCAAAATGGACATGAGCATCCAAACAGCAGTAGCATAATTATGTACAACAAGACAAAGTGAACAAGCTCTGCACCTCATTGCTATGAATATGTGCGTTTGCTTCAGGATCTCAACAAGTAGCCCAGTGGCTGGTCAGTAACCTCCGGTTGGGTGGACTGGGCAGAGGTGAGATGATGCATTCCAGTACCGACCCACCCGTTCTGCTTTCTACTGAGTAAGAGAGGGATAGAGGAATAAAGAAAGAGACAGTCAGACAGTGAGAGAAGGGCTGTTTGTTCCCTTTTAGGAACAATCTGGTCTTGAGGCTAACAGGGCAGCCAGGCCCACAGCGTGAGAAAAAGAGGGCCTTTAACATGGGGACGGGACTGCTGACATCAGCACACTGAGAAGAACGAACACAGAGAAGGGAGGAGAACAGTGAAACAGATTTTTTTTTTTAAAAGAAGGGAAAAAAAGCTATAAACACAAGAGAATGTACACACTTCATTTAGAAGCATAGTTAAGCCCGTCTAATGGATTGGTTTACCCAAATGACAAAGAAACGCATTGTCTCACTTGCCTCCTATGATCTTAAGGTGTGAAGTTTTTTATATATTAATATATAATGAAGAGGCATAGTACCACAATGGTTTTGCAAAGCAAATATCCATCAGAACATACGATAAGGATATAATATCAGAAATGACTACAGCTTTTCTACAACAAAATTAAGAATATCAACACCTTCTGCATTAAAGATAAGATCCTGTGGTTTAGCCCATTGTGGGGCCAGAGCTAGACTCTCAGCACAGTGGGGGCGGAGTGTCATCATGGGGCCAACCTGCTACCAAGTCATTTAAACCAAGTTTAGGCTACCTGACCCCGGACGACTACTGCTGCCAGAGCTTATCGCAGCCATTCTAGTAAATGTTTGTGAAGCGCTGCAGTGCGTCCCAGAAGCGTTTCTGCTTCTGGAAGTCAGACACAGAAACGGCATGGAATCCGGTCAATTTTCAAAATAAAATACCCTGTACAGACTCCCGATCATATGTTAACAATAAACACAGTTAAAACGGACAAAAAAAGCAATAATATAACTACGTAGCCTGATTATTCCTAATAGAAGCACAAAAAGCAAGCACTAATCACAAAATCTAAACATGTCAGCAAAATCTGGCAGGCAAAACGCTCTTATTCTGAAATGCTTCCTGTGGTAGTTGCTAGATGCACCCGTCAAGATGATGAAGGAAAGCGAGCCGCATAGAACTTTGAAGAATTTAGTAGAAGAACAAAAGGACATATTAAAAACAAGTGATTTAGGTGGCGCAGGCTACATGCTCCGCTTCCAGTGGAAGTTGACACTGGAACTAAAATGCAGTGCACACGCAGCTTGTGTTACTCCTGGGAAATGCATAGTAGCCTATGTCTGTCCCTCAGAATTCCCATGATGCATGAGGGTGAATGGAGTTTGTTACAATTGGCTAATAAGTTTGCCATTTGTTTGAAATACAAATTTTACTTTAAGATTTATGTTTTTTAAAATGTCTTAGAATAGTGATTTTTGTTGGTAATTGCTATTCTTGTAGTGGTTTACCACGAGTGAAGGGACTGTTTCATTTGAGGAGAACTGGGAAACTATTGCCTACTATCAACTAGTGTAAACTGCACAGTCCACATAAGGGGGCCAACTACCCAGCCAGGGCCCTGGGTTGGCCGCACCCACACTAACTCTGCCAGTGGTTCTCAAACTAGGGAAGGGGCAATATTTTTTTCATTGTCTGGTTATATATTTACATACAGTGAGGTCTACATAATGGCACTAGTTGTAGTTGCTAGAGAGATTTTTGATGAAACTGGAAAGCAAATCGATAGCAGTGTGTTGTCTTTGTTGGCACCACCTTATGTACATAGATCACTGAAGCTTTAGTCATGTTCATAGAGTGACAAAGTATAACAGTGTCTCCCTGTGTGATTCAGGTTTTATATGGTCGTATTTCTTTCTTTATTCGGGATTGCAGTTTTTTTTTTTTTTTTTTTTTGGCAAATAGCCTTTTGTGTTCTTTAGACTTGTGACAAAATGAGGTGGGAAATCATTGTGAAAGTACAGAGCTGTGAATTCTTGGAAGACTGCAATGTCAGCGGGTCTTGCCTCATTTAATTTAAAGCTTTTTGGATTCTGTAGACTGCGTCCAATTTAGTTCCGCTTGACTCAAAAGAAAGAAAGACACTCAAAAATAGAGACATTATTTATTGTAAGACATTGCACAGCACCAGCTTGGCTTAGTCTAGGGATTCTGTTTAAATCAGATTAATCTCTTTGGAGTAAAAAATCAATACACTAACTTTGATTAGTAGGTCGATAGTTCTATTATCTATTATTAAAACTGAAATGCTGGCTTCTCCACATAGGTGGCATGTGATGCACTGTTTGGTTGATTTTTGTGTATGTGTAAGATAGAGAATGCTTGTGTCTGCATGCATGTTCAGCCCATAGCAGTTATGCTATGCATGTGGCTTGACCAGTCAGGGCACATTTTTCACCACAGCACAATACGTCATGTGGATTTCTTTCAGGCAGGGTGAGCAGATCTGGCTGCACAGACGATAACACAAACCAGTCTGACACAGTAGTGTAATGTACAGCTGTTTCGGTTGGGTGTTACAGTGTGTTACTACTGCAGGGAAGTTCATTTACTTCAGAGAGGGGGTTTTAAACAGAAAAGAAATCTGAAAAATCTGTTTGGTTCGCGGAGAGCAGTACTACGGAAGTGGTTTGTACTGAAATGTATAATAAACTTCCCTCCGTAGTGGGGTGTAAATGGGGTGTGCTTTCAAAATGGATTATACTTTTATCTGATTTTAATCAGCTCTGCATGGAGATACAGTTGAAAACACATTTTAACAAAATATATTTCAACTTCTGCAAAAATACTACATATATTGGACCAATTTAGTAATATGAACTAAATCCTGACTGATAATGGACTTTTGAGGCAGATGCTGAAATCCAATAACGATGTATCAGCTGATAGCTATTTTTTTTAAACAGAAAAACACAAACGAACAATCTTGATAGGAATCCCCTGTAAATTATCACGTATAATAATTTCACAGAAAGAGAGTCAAGTCATGACATGAAATAATATAATATTATCAGGTTCCAGCAGATAACAAGAAACACAGTTCACCTGTGCATTGCTCAACACAAAACCCATGATTCCTTATCTCAGTTCAAATCTCCACAAAAGTCCACAACCTTAACAGAAACCTGGACCATATTCTGGATCACAGCAAGAAAAAAAAATTCAGTTCCAATACAAAAGTTGGCCAGTGTTCTTCATATTCCACAAAGTGGTGTGTGCGTGTGTGTGCTTTCATGCGACTGCGTGTGTGCACAAGTATGCATTTTTTTATTGCATTCATGTCCATGCCTTTTGTACTTCTCTTGTAATTCTTCATATTGGCTTTGTATGGATTGAAACTCCACACCCTGTCCAGTGCCAGGTTGATGCTTTGACAGTGTTGTCATAGCAAGCAGGACACAATGGTTAAATAGGAATGACATCACATAGCAGGTATGCTGCACCCCCCTAGGGTTGATCTTTGACCATTAGGAATCAAAAGATCATCAGCAATTAAACATGTTGTCAGCCAATGTAATGTACTAACACACAATGTCACACAGTTTCGTGAACACAGCTGCCTGTTCTGCGTAGGATTGTTATGAAATCCTACAGCGTTTTTATTTTCTTTTAACTTTACTCTAATGAAACATTTTGATTTTTTTTTTGTGTGTGTGTGTCAGTTAGAGTGGCTGACTATGTAAGGAGAGGAAATGAAAGGTGATTGCTGGAAGTTGCTTTTGGCCAACAAGACACCATTTAGGGAGTGTGTTCTCAGACTCATTTTTCTCTCCTGTGTTTTTACTTCCCTGCTGAACTGGTATTATATATTTGGCAGGGTGTCCCAGGAAGTGTGTTACAGCCTGACAGTTTATCACACACTCCAGTCTGAATCCAGCTATCCACTTTGCAAAGGGTGTGTATTCTAGTACTTATGTCAAAGAGTGTCAAACATGTAGTACTTAAATTTCCTAAATATAAGAATAATACAGAAACAAGCCTGAAACTGTCGTTGGCATATAGCAAAAAGGAAATCAATTTCCTAGACTTGAAAATCCCAGAATCAGATGATGGGGATTTGCATACTACTATCCACTGAAAAGCCACTGATTGATATACAACATAAGTGCTGACAGTTTTTTCATCATTTAGTTGATAAAAGAAATTTCATTTCAAACTCTGCTGGTGTTAAGAATATTTTACAATAAATCAAATCTCCTTATAAAATACATCTTTGGTTTGGTGTGCTTTTTTCCAAAAATACACTGTTTTACTCTTTGGCTGGTAGTGTGGATAGTAGTGACTTTCAATATTGCACTACTAATTTGATGTTTTTACTTTTACTGCTCTTCGTCATTGGAGTGTTATGTGTATGTTATTAATTAGTTAAGCTAGTTTTACTGCCACACTTCATTTAAGGTGTTCCTAAATTACTCTCAGGTTCAAGTGCCAAACCTTTATGGGCCATCAGTGCTGACTGATTCTAGCCAGATAATTGAATATGATTCATTCACAGTATTTTAAAACCATGAGTTCAGCTATGTCAGAATAACAACATATGAAAATATTTAAAAGATTCCCATGTCATGAAAAGTGATCTGTTCTTCCTGTTGCTACATATAAATCCCTGAAAAGGGAGATTACAGCTGCCAGTTGTACGTTTATACAGTATATTCATAAAGCTGGATCACATTTAACCTCACCCTTTCACCCCTTCATTCACTAGATCATGATCGAGTTCTGCCCTGGAGGTGCTGTGGATGCCACAATGCTAGGTAGGCCTCTCTCTCTCTTTCTATTTGCTCTCTTTTATAAGCACTCCAGCTTTCTTCCGTGTCACGAGAGTCAAGTTCCACACCTGCGGCAGTGCTGTGACTACACCTGTCCCTTCAGCGGTGTCTTTAAGGAAGCGTGGAGGCATGATAAAAGATCAAAGACTTTTGGCCAATCCATGCTATTGTTTTAAAGCTCCAGGAAATATCTAGTAAACCAGCATTCATCACATTACTGTTTATTTGTTTTGAACATGATCACTGCAGCTTCAGTAGTCTGGCCTTGAATGCTCTAGAAAGCATTCAGACTTAGTGGAGTCCTCCGTTGTGGGAAACCCCCCTGTTCTGTTTTTATTGGGTAATCCACATCCTCATAACTGTCTGTACCCTCACTGCGACTAACCAAACACAGACACGGTAGAATAAAGTCTGCTGGCCAGGACTAGCTTGAATGTGTGATGGCTTTTCTGATCTTGGATTACTTATCCAGCAGCACTATCTTAGGGACTCCATTGATATATCACGCCTTTATCTTCTGCTGTTTTCTTTCGTGGAGTTCACACACTCGATCGTGATTGTATGTTCACTAAATATAGAATGTGCAAGATGTGCACAAATGGATTTTGAACCCCTTTTAGCTTGCTTTCGCAACTGACACTTCCATTCGGCTCTGGTTCTCACCCCTCTCCCCTACCGCGTATTTCACCTCTCCTGTCTCCTGCCCTTATCAGAGTTGGATCGCGGGCTGACGGAGCCACAGATTAAGGTGGTTTGTCGACAGATGCTAGAAGCTCTGGTCTACCTCCACAGCATGAAGATCATCCACAGAGACCTGAAGGCCGGTAACATCCTTCTCATGCTGGATGGGGACATCAAACTGGGTGAGGATTTAGATATTTATACTTTAGAATATGGCTAGTTTGAGGTCCTTGTTGTGCTTGTGCAAAGTTGACATTTAACTCTTAGCATTTCTGGAAAGCAAAATTTTATTCATTGTGTCTGCATCATAGTGTCCAAGTGCCGTTTTGTCCATGCTCACACAAGTAGGTGTACACAATCTGACAAATGCAATACAGTATGTTCTGAGGGTATCCTCATTTGGAATTAACTTCCAGAATCACAACATTTCTCTTGTATTTGTGGAGACAATTCAAAATGTTGTGTTATAGTTGTTGGAAAATTTTGCGGTGTGGTGCACAAATTTATCCATACCTTGAGAAATGTTGAGGTCCTGACAGGCGGTTATAATAAAGTTTTGTGTTTTTTTGTGTTTTTTTGTGTTTATATATGCTGTTCAAAGAACAAAGTGGGAAGTATTACACTTTCCTTGGAAACATCCTGTCACAAAGGAAGGGATGATTTTATAAATCTGTTGAATCAGCAAATCTACAATTAGAAATAAATATATGTAGAAGAAAGACAAGACACTGCTGTAAGTCTGTTGGTATATAGGGTGAGTACATGCACTGAATGTAAAACCTAAGGGCAATGAAATTTCACCAGAAAGTAGGAATTCAGTAGATTATTGCAGAAAATATCATATTTTAAACTTGTGGGTTGGATCTCTCTTTATATCCCATCATTCACAGAGAAAACCACTGCCAAAGTGATGCAAGTGGAACTAATTCTCAGATAAACTCCATATTCCCATCTCTTATGCTATCACACATGCACACCCAGTTATAGGCCCTGTACCCGTCCTGTGAGCACTATGTGGGGGGAAACTGCATTCTCAGAAGTTTTCCATATTTTCATTTTGTGGCTTTTGAAGAGTTCTCCACATTCTTGACATTGCACACCTGATGTTGTGGATTCAACCCAATCACCAGTATGTTTTGGATTAAAGCGTAGTGCCAGTTAAGGAAGTGCTGATTTTTCTCTCTAAATGGCTGCCTGATATTGGGATCCTTGGACACTAAACCTTGTATTGTATTTGGGTGCATATTTTGTGCTTTAGCTTTATTTGATTCCAAATGGTTTATTGGTCATTAGTTTTATTACAATTTCCCTCTCTCTCTTTTTTTAATTTCAAATGACACATGTCGTCAGCCACCGTGCTCAGTGAGCTGGACCTGTACTTCTTGTTCAAGTCCTTTTCCTTTGCCTTACATTCTTCCCTGAGACACCACAGTTAAATATAATCACTGGGAGTTGCCTCTATAACCTCATTAAGTCATAACACTGACTCATTTACAGTCTCCAAACTTATGTAACCAGTTGTTAATTCAAAGAAGGCAGCAATTAACCATCTTTGAGGTCAGCTAAATGCGTTCTATATTCACCTATGGTACATGGCAGTAAACATTATGTTCATCCATGTAGCACACAACTCTGTAGCGACTGTTGATCTCTGTCCAATTGTGACATTCCTGATGCTGTGGTGTATTACGGGAGCCTTTAGGTGTGTTAGCGTAGAAATATTGGGGAAAATCATAATAATGCTTCTTGAGAGACACCCTTGGTGATTCTTTGAGGGAAAAGAGGTAGGTTAAACCCAGTGATACAGCGGATGTGAGGGGAAGGAACCGCTTAGCCAGAATGTGCTGTATGTACAATGTTGTAGTATATTTGACCTCTGAGTTCATACTGCTGTTGGTATGATTTTACCAGAATAAGTTACCAGATTTGATTGAAATTGATGCGTAAACTCCTATTTGATGTACAATAAAATCAGTGATACTGTTTATTGTCTTTGTAGAAAGCAAAAAATCCTTTCAAGCTTAGACTGCAGAAGTCCAAATGATATGTTTGACTGGGAAGTCAAAGATATTTGAATTGTAGTCTGCAAAACCAAGACGGTCACTTAAGTCCCCGTAATAGAACATGCCAGTTTGTAATTGAAGCAGTCAGCCTGCTGCCTTGTGAGTAAAATCCTCAGGCCTCTGCCAAACACTTCACAACCCTGGGCAAGCCACACGTAATATTCCTACTTTCAGAGAAAATCGTGTTCAGCCAAAGTGAAAATGACACCCCTGTAATCTGAGGGTCATGTCAGGAAATGGGGGCAGCTTGTTTGGGAAACAGGAGTGCTTTAAATTCTGGTGTCTCTGCCCATCACAATGTCGTTACAGCTTTACAAGCTACTTCAAGGGGGATATAAATGACAAAAGTTTTCTAACTGGCTTCACTGCCCCTTACGGAAAAGTGCTTCTTCTTTCAACTTATTTCATCTTTTTTTTTTTGTAATTGTTTTGTCCTTCTCATTCTTGTAGCTGATTTTGGAGTATCTGCAAAAAACACCAAAACCTTACAAAGAAGAGATTCTTTCATTGGAACGCCATACTGGTGAGTAAGACATCACTGTACCTCAGAGCACCAGCTAAAGATTTACATTTAAAGACAACAATTTGCGGATGGGACTGCCTGTTTTATTTTATACAGTGAATTAAATCCCCAGAAAATTGAGGTATTTCATCACATTGATGAAACATCTTATAAATCCAGTATAAAACAGTCCTGATCACTGATTAGGAACATTGCCTGCAATGTATTGATACAGCATGAGCTATTACTTACCTTGGTAGAAACCATATAGCAAATTCTCGGACTGTAGACAACCGCCCCTATATGAGCTATATAAACTGTGGGTTATTGCTTGCTGAGAACACATTTCATGATATTGTGTATACACACCCTCAACCCAGCACATCAATAACTCAGTGCTTTAAACCTGACAGTGCTCTTCTCTCCTCAATACCTGAACAAACTGGAAAGGTTCCCTTGGAAGCCTCTACAGTGAACCTTGTTCCATACTGTTATCCACAGTGAATATGGTTGGAGCCAGTTAACCATTGACTACTGGAGAACAGATTATCATCCATCAGGAATACCCTCCCAGCTCTGATTAGTCCTGATCAGTTTTGGCATATACCTTTCCCCTGATTGCACCGATTAGCCAAGTCAACAAGAAACCCGAGGCAAACCTTTGTTCCTTTGCACTTTATTAAATCTAGGAGCTGCGGCTTATGAGAGCCATTATGCAGTTTGTCCACAAACGTGCTGACTGGAGAAGTGTGCTTGATGTTGACACAATAGTGAGTAAGAGAAAAAAGAAAACACTCGTCATCAGTAATCATTAGTTAGTCACTTGCTGCCACTGCTCCGAGATAACTGTAAATACAGCAGGTGTATTTTTATGGTATCAGAAGCTGTTTAATCATGTTGGGACTGCTTTCTCTATGACTAGTGTTGATTTGGTAAAGCCAGATTTTTTTAACATGTCATTGTTAAACTCTTTACAAATTAAGTTAGTTATTAGCTCTGCCACTTGATGATTAGATTAATTTTTTATTTTATTTAGGAGCCAATCAATATGTCATAAAGTTGTCCCTAAAATGACCAAAAATTATAGCATTCCTGCATTGATTTCGGACATGTGAGAACTGAAGTTTATTTATCCCATATGGTCATTTTAGGACTATCGTGGGAGGCGATATCATTCATTTGTCTTTTTTATTGAAAACAAATGTTAAGTATGCTTCACCTTTAAAGATCTTTTTCTTGTAAACAGTTGCTACACACGTTCAAGCCCATTTCACAACCATATCCCAGACAGGTTAAATAATGCAAATTCCATACATTCAAACATTTACACACAAACGTTAATAATATACTAAATGGCATGAGCAGGGAGATGCTCTCTACTCTACAGTTTGACTATCCCTATAAAGCATGTTTTAATGTTCATGTGCCTTGACTTGTTAGCATTCAAGATTTGAACTGAGGATTCAGTGTCTCTCATGCGTACTGATCCCTATAAATATTGCACCTTTGGTTTTCTCAGGATGGCCCCAGAGGTGGTTATGTGTGAGACAATGAAGGATGCCCCATATGACTACAAGGCTGATATCTGGTCTCTGGGAATCACTCTGATCGAGCTAGCCCAGATTGAACCCCCGCACCATGAGCTCAACCCCATGAGGGTGCTGCTGAAGATCACCAAGTCGGAGCCTCCCACCCTGGAGCAGCCACACAAATGGTGAGCTTGCATTGAAAAATGAATCTGAATTCAGCTGTTGCACATAATAATAAGCGAAAGAGAAAGTAGAGAGATGTTGCCCAGAAAATTGCATGTAAATAAAAAGCTTTTGGCGCAGGATATGATTGGTGGAGTCAACATGGGCTTGTATCTTCCTGTCTAGATTTCACCAGGTCATTTAGTTTCATTCTATTACCAAATGTTTGCACACTCAGTGTCATGTAATCTCAATGAAGACACCAAGTGTATAACATTGAACATCCCCTTTCCTCCTGCGATCTATTTTGCCCTCTCCAAAACTATTAGCAACAACTCCTCAGAGCAGCAGGACATCAGTGAGTGCCAAACTATAACTTATTTCCTTATCAATTTGTATATTATCAGTATGAATGTTCCATAGCAACTAGTTCAGTACAGCAGAAGATAAGTTATCATTTGCTGAAAGGAGATTTGGGATGGGGAGACAACTCATCATTCCCCGTTAAAAGCTTTGTTTTAGTCAGCACAGCTGTGCCCAGATGATCTACATGTACGTTCAACACATCGTCTGGAAATGTTCTGTACAAATGTTTTGTTATGTTGTAACTATCCCTTCATCCTCCCCATCCCCCCTGTTATTCATTCCTCCTGTTTCTGATTAATGCTGCTTTCTTGTGTTCACCCAAGGTCACAGGAGTTTAAAGATTTCCTGAGGAAAGCTTTGGATAAAAACCCAGAGACCCGTCCGACTGCAGCACAACTCATGGAGGTAGGCCCTGATGCAATGGGCAATTAAAACCTAGCACCTGGATATATGATGGAACATAGTCCTCGCCCTGTCCTTATCTTGCACATACAAACACAGTCTTGTATTTTAAGACCTGAATGGGAGTGATCTATGCCAGAGAAGTGAGTGGTGTTCCATGGAGGGCACTGGCATGTGGGTGGGAGGTGAGAATAGAAGGTGTAAAATAGTGGGCAAGAAATGGAGCAGAGTAGGATGGCGTAAAAAGTGAAACATTCAGGACTTTGAGATGTAGCTGTTCACTTTTGAAGCATCCTCTTATGGCATCTACAGCATTTTGATCTCAGGGACAATGGAGGTTTTTGTGCCAAAAAATGTAAAATGGTGAAAAATAGTTGTATTTCTTATTTCTTACTGTTACAGTCTTTGTTTTACAAATGCACATAAATTCAGGTTAGCGACACTGGTAAGAGAGGACAACTCAAATGTCTACACAAACATAATCTTGTATTTTAAGACCTGAATGGGAGTGGTCTATGCCAGAGAAGTGTGGTACAGTAAGTGCACTTTGGGACAGCTGGGATATTGCTAAGAAGAGGCTGATTTCATGCAGTTAAACATTAATATGTAAGGATGAGCACTGACAAATGTTTCCCAAAATCCAGTATCCCAAGCAAGAAAATCGAGAGAAAAAGTGAACAGGGTGTGGATTAAAGCACAAGCGCAGCGTCTATTAAAATTCATAGCCACAGTTTCCTGTCTGTATCCCACGGCTGAGGGAATGCCAACTATTTACATTCCCACCCTCAGCCAATAGTGTGTCTGGATTACCCTGAGTTTGCCACCCTCTGGCCAATTAGAGAGAGGCAAAGAAGAAACTTCTAGACCCAGCCCTGCAGGGAATTCTGCATGTGCTCTCCAGTGGGGGGAAAAGAGACGGGTGCGGTCCGGTTTTTGGTGCCGTGCTGGAGGTTTTAGATGTTTATCATGCCTGCTGCTCATAACGGCTGTCAGATTTACTGTAAATAATTGTGAGATTATGGCATTCAATTCTGCTGTGCAATGGATGCTGACTGGTGTGAGTTTACTGGAAGTTACTATCCGTGTATGTGCAGGAAGTGAACAGGGAGATTATAATGAATCCTGAACAGATAAAAGTGTTTGAAGTATAGAAGCTAGAGTGTATGTGATGTGTGTAGCTGTATCAAAAAAGCAAATGACGGGATAAAGCTTTATAAAGTCTTTTCTAAGGTGGTATTAGTTTTAAACCTTTTTTAACCTCTTGCCTTGTGTCTGTCCCACTTGTGTGAAGCTTCTAAGGAATGTATACAAAACAACACGACACAGTATCAGTCACTGGCTGTGTGGCTGGCGGGAGACCATCTGGATGACTTGTACTCATTATACTGAATACAGCTTCTCCTCCCACATAGTTTCTCATGGTCAGGATTTAGACAGTGTTTTTGGTGTAGCTTCCATTCATGTCTGATGATATTTCCTGTCACTGCATGACTGTATGTTGGGTGATTTTAACATGGGGGTATTTGGCTATTTTATGTCTGAACAAGGGCTTTGTAGTGGTTTTGCACCATCAACATGTGCAGACACATGCACAACTCAACTATCTGCCTAAGCCCAACCCTAACCCTGATCTTACTCCAAGCCTAATTCTAATATTAAAGGGTCAGTTCACACAAATTTCTTGTATAGGTTTTCGAACAGGGGAGCACAGGAGAGTTGGACGGTGTGACACAAAGATACTCCGTGAGAAGAAAGGGAAGTTAGCTCACCAACACGGTCAACAGCTGCAGCAGCAGCGGCTGTGACACAGCTTATGGAAGCAACTAAGGTACTTAATAGTGGCTGGCTCTGCCTGCACTGTGGGGGGTGCAGCGGCATTTCCCGGTTAGCATGGGGTGACTTGTTTGCATCCCTGGTTTGCCTAATTGACCTCAGATCCGTGCTCCCCTGTTTCTCGGTCAGCCGGTTGTCGGACTCCTCTGGAGACTGAGGTAGTTGTCCAGATGTGCAGGGTGTGTGCGGGGCGGAGCTGTTTCTCCGGGTATGTTCTGGGCGTGTGCCTGGGGTTCTCGGCCCTTGAGGGGTGGATGGATGGATTGGCGGTGACATGCAGCTGGGCTAGTTGATTTTTACCTCGTTGCTGGTTTGGCTGGCGTTGCAAGGCGGCCGGAGGGCATGCTGTGCATGGGGGATGTTAGGCTGGCGCCGGTGGCCCCCGCTTTTCCGGCGGCTGGAGGGGGCGGCGGACTTTTATCGGCGGGTGCACCGTGGCCTGGGCGGCACATTTTTGCTGCCGGGCTGGGACTTGCTGCTGGTGTTTTTCTTTGCTGGCTTTCGCCGTTGTGTTCTGCCGCTTGCTCGGTCTCATTTGCTCGGCCTCACGTGTGGGATACGCGGGGGGCTGCGTGGTATTTTGGCGGTTTGGTTACCCATTCCGCGGCGGTGGGGTGCCGGTCGCGGGGTGGCACTGCCTCTGTTGTGTGCGCGCCATGGTAGGTCCGGGAGCCGCTCTTCTGCGGGTTCCACCTTTTGCTTTCCGACGGCATTACGTTGTCAATTGGCATTTGGATTGCCCGGTGTCTTCTGCGTTCGCGTCGCGATTCGTCTGGGAGTCCACTTCCTTCTCACCCCTATTGGCTACTGGGGGTCTTGCCTGCCTGTCGCTGGAGTCGGTGTGGCGCGGTTGGGACATGTAACAGGCTTATGTACACAAACATATACACATACAGACCCACGCACTCCTACACATACAGTCTCACATATAGACACACACACAAACAAAGGTTCTCCCTGGTAGAATTATTTTTGATGTTTTTCATTCAGTTACTTATTTAAATTAATTGTTGTTATTTCAGTTCTCAAGGTGGTGCTGTGTTGTTTATTTATGTTGCCTGATTTTTTCTCTTTTTCACTTCTCTCTCAATTGTCTTCCTATGTCAGCTGTTTATTGCTGCTGTTCAGCTGGTTGTCTCTTTGTTTTTGTTTGTTTGTTGTTTGTTTCTCTCCGCCCCAAGCCCCCCTCCCTGTTCTCTTGCAGGTTTTGTTGCTTTTTTCAATTGGTGTTTCCTTCTGCTATTTCCTGTTGTCCCCATCCCCATTCTCTTGCAGTTGTTGCCCTTTCTCTGTGCTGTGTGTTTATGTGGTGTTTCTGTTCCCATTCCCATGTCTGTCCCCTGTCTGTCCCAGTGACAAATACATTTGAATAAATAACAGTACAGACAAAGGAATATATTGATACTCTCTTGTTAAAGTAAAATCTGTCTGGCACAATATGGTATCCAGCTCCTCATACCAACATGCTGCTGGGCAGGACAGGTCAAAAAAAAAAGAAAAGGTACTTAATAGTGCCAGATTGCAGTAGTTTAAATGTGTACTTCTTCTCGAAATCATAACTCAGTCCGATCTAAACACTTCTACACCCTTGCACTTTTTGAGGATATCATTATCACCAATGTCAATTGTGAAAAAAATAATCCCTAAATATGCTTAGAAATGATAGAACAAAGATGCCCATAACTGCAAAACATACCTGAGAATCACCATGTTAAGTTTTCTTCAGTATCAAAGTAGTGCTGTGATAGTTGTCTGTCCATCCATGGGTACATTGTAAACATTGTCTGTGGTGCTGAAAGCACTGAAGAATTACATTTAAGTCAATAACAACATCTTTTAGGAAAATATGTCCCTGTTTCTCTGGGTAAACCACAGAACAGGCTATCAACAGTTTACATATGAACTATTTACTGTGGAAAGTAGTTCCTGTGTGGCCGGTGGATTATACAGAGTAAGGGACTTTTTTCTGGAAGTTATATTAGTCAAAAAAATAAATGTAACATTTCATTGCTGTGACCACCACAAGTGATGCAGAATTCTAAGACTGATGTTTATAAATTTAGGCAAATAAAAATGATTTTTATTTATATAGATCAAAATTGCCACTTCCCTAACCCCAAACGTAACCTGAACTTAATTATAACCTTAACCCTAAAAAGAAGTTTTAACCTCCAGACCAACCTTTTGAAAAAGTGAGGACTGACCACATTGCCAACAAAAATGTCCTTTGAAATTCAAAATTATCCTCACAAACACAGAAAAACAGATAAACACACTCCACTGTGTCATTGCTAGACAGTAACTCTGCCTTCATGCAGCTCCTAATGGGCCATACTGTTCACATTTATCCTTTTCACGCCCAGCCATGCATGTAAGACCCCAAATCACCAGCCTCACTGGGTCTAAAGCAATGTGAAACCTGAAAGAGAGGACATGAGCTTCACTGAGCCACATCTTGATCCATAATGGCTGTAAAAAAAAAAAGAGAAAAAAAGCTAGATTTAACAGGGCAGCAATTCTACACTGTTTGCCTTTTCCCCCTTTGATATGCCTCAAGGAAACTGGGTTTAGCTTGAGCATGGGAGTTCACTTGTTACAATAAACAGTTGGAAGCTGAAATCTCAGATGATACAGAAGGGAAAGAAAAAGAGATGCACAGATAATATTTTGTTTTGATCCTGGAATTAATTTTACTTTTACCTGCCAGTGGAGGCTTAGATCAGTAGTGGTAACTGCACAAAGAATCTTTCCTTTCTGTTCTAGACTATTGCTATGCATAAATGTCAAAAATTTGAAGGTTCCAGCCTCTTATGTGAGAATCTGCTGCTTTTCCTTGTCGTTACATTGTAGTAAATTTATTATTTTTGGGTTTCAAGCCGTAAGAATTTCCATAAAGACATAATTTTTCTATTGAGAGTTGAAGAGTAGATGGCCTACAAACATCACAAAGTCTCTCTCTCTATACATATGCTATGTGTGTAATATTTCTTTAAAGCATAAATAAAAACTGGCACTTAGCATTTACACTACCTGACTCATTAAAAATAGATGACTGTTTGTCATTGGAGAAGTTAAAAGCTGAAGCCTAATGCTGTCCTTGAGGAAAAGCCCTGCACACAAACAACTGTGATCACCCACGACAAATATATGCGCGCACACACACACACACACACACACACACACGTACTTATATACACTTCATGGTCCAGCACCACTTGTAGCTATTTCCCTTTTGTCAGCTGTTCCAATTAAATTACACAGTAGTGCAAAGCATCTGAATAATAGATTATCAGCCTTGTATCCCAGCTGCACTCAACTTTTAATTGAGCTTTTCATTCTTCTTGCACTCAGTTTATTACTGCCTTGTTTTCACCCTGGCAAAACACACATTTTCTCTTTAGCAGTTGCAGAATTAAAGCTGGCTTGCTTTTTTAAGGACAGTATGTGAGATTGAACACTGTTGCATCAGTGGGCTATTAAGGAGAGAGTTGTGTTGCAACTATTGTTGTAGCTGTTAAGGAAATGGCAGGTGGCAGATAACTGTGCAGTGAAAGTCTCCTGTAGCCTTGCCTCTTCTTTTTGCCACTCACAGTTACATGTATTTTTCCACAAAATTGTATTTTATTCTCTCTCCCTCTTTTAGGGAGGTGTTTACAAGGTCACTTTTGCTCAGCCATGAAATACAAATGAAATACAAGAGGGTCACAAAAAACAAGAGTTGTGTGTAGTTGGAAGAAAGTCTTTGGCTATTTTAAGCATCAGTCACACTGTATTTTGTCTGATAATTAATTAAAGAGGTGGTATTATGCTCATTTTCAGGTTCAAAATCTTAATTAGGGGTTGTACCAGAACAGGTTTACATGATTTAATTTTCAAAAAACACCATATTTTTCTCATACTGCACATTACTGCAGCTCCTCTTTTCACCTACATGTTGTACGCTCCGCTCTTGAGCTACAGAGTGATGCATCTTACTTGTACAAAATCTTTGTTGGGAGATGCACATGCGCAGTTCCCAGGTAAGGACTAATAGCCAATCAGAAGCAGAGAAAGACGGGTCGTAAGACAAAAGGTAGTGTGATCCAAATCACACTTCACACACTTCAGACTGCGACCGTAACCTAGCAGATGGTATAAGTTACTCACAAGTCCACAACCACACAACATCATTGTTCCACATCTTACCATCAGGACTAAACATTGAACTGTTGCCGGTGTTCTGACGATCTATGCTGCCTTGCCGAAAAATGCTACCACAGCACAAATCGATAGACTCGACTCTACTTTTCATTGCAGATGGTACCCAGAGATAGTATGTAGCTTGTCGTCATAGTGACGCCATACACAACTGCCGCAACATAATGTTCAATGCGACACACACACCAGCAATCCACACAGCTTTCTCTTTTTTAAGTTAAAACGTTTCAACATTCCTCAGAATGTAAAGACAGATAAGCGGTATGAAAACCTTCCAGCTGTGTTTTCAAGATCGCTCCTCCAGCGGGTTGGCACAGGCTTCCCCCGCCGCCACTTGCGGAGCTCCTCAACTCCGACAATATTCAAGCACATTTTTGTTCCCCCATCACTTCTCGTAAAACTGTCAATATTCAAAATCTACACAGCTGATTTCTCACCTCCAAACTTCTCAGAAGTGGATTTAGTTATGAAATTCCATACGAAAACTGTAAAATATAAAACTTTCTGTTGCTGGCCTCTGTCTGGCGCACGCAATGATGATGCAGTGAATAGTGACGATTCTCTCTGACCAATCAGCAGTCTGTCATGTTTTCACGTTACATTTTAGTATCGCCTCAGCTCGCTTGAAACCTCGATGGAGGTGAGGTGATACGAAAAAAAGTACCTGGAAGCAGGTATAGGTACAACATTTCTACAATGGAAGCAACAAAGGCGAGTCGAGCCAAAGGGCCTCCGCTCAGACTAGCTTGGTTTCAGGGCGTGCCTGACCCCGCTAGCCGCTTGGCAAGCTTTATGACGAGTTTTCATTGTGACGTCACAAACAAACGAGCTGTTTTCAAGCGGTTCAGAGCAGAGCTTTCTGCGGGAGATGGGAACTCCCTTTGGGCTGAACTTTGGGCTTTTTCACTTTGCAAACCTGTTACATGCACAAAAAAGATAAATAACTCAATAAAGGAGAGGGAAAAAGCCAAAAAGGATAATACCACCTCTTTAACCATCTCCCCTCTGTCCTTTCTGCCCACAGCACCCTTTTGTGAGATCTGTGACGTCTAACCGTCCACTGCGGGAACTGGTGGCTGAGGCCAAAGCTGAGGTCATGGAGGAAATTGAGGACAATAGAGAGGAAGGAGAGGACGACGACGCCATGGAGCTCACTGTGGTACCAAACCTCCCCCTCTTCTGTCCCTTCATTTTCTTCCCTGTCATTGTTTGTTTCCAAAAGGAGAGTGGGGCAGCTTATGTTCTTCCAGTAGCTTTTTATTTGAAAAGTCTGGCGGCTTTAAGCTGGTTGTAAGAGTACACGTGATTCAGACTCACAAAGTAAATAATGGGATGGTAACTGTTTGTTTGTTTTTATACAGTCATCAGAAGATGTAATCAAGTTTAAACTCATGCACACACAAAGGTATGCTTACCTGCACACTTACACCCATGCCCCGTAAAGCACACGCTTTCTGCCGTCCACTTCCCCCACTTTTGAAGTGTTTGCTGATCTTTTTGAACAGCATTTTTTTGGTTAAACTGAAGGTCCATCCTGCAGAAACCATTCATAAATCCACCGAGGGCATAAGATTAGAAAGTGACATAGTCTAAGAGTGCAGTTCACTGCCTGCCCTCAGCAAAAACAAAGGAACAGAAACCGGAATCCTGGCACTCGCCCACACCCACACATGGTTAAATATAGGTGCTGCCTTCAGCCTCATTCCTGTATAGTAACACTGTCACCTCACAAGCCCCGATAGGAGTAAATTATTTAAGGTCAGACATTGTTTTGTTGCGAGCCTGTGACCCTTAACTAAAGACAGACGGTTAACTGTCCACCAGCGACCCACAGCGATGGAGGACCCTAGAAATGTTCTTGCTAACAGGAAGCTGTGATCAGACAAATGTGTCAATCATGTGATGAACACGGATGTTTTTCTCTCCATGAAGATGAATGTCTGCCCACTTATCTCCTCCTCCCCTAATGTCAACAGTTAGTGTGATGACTTCCAATTGTCTTGAGGTGAATAACTTGGCTTCAGTGTAGTGACAGAGCAGGTCGTTGTCCTTTCTGGACATCTTGTCAAACATTGTAATTCTTTTGAGTTTCTGTAAGAAGTCCCATTTTGTCTTTATGTATCCAGTTGTATTTTATTCTGCTCTGTTTACTGAAAAGAAAACTCATCATGTCACTCATTTAATCACTAATTTCCTGAGTGTCATTAGTTTTCCCAGATAAAACCCACAAGACAATTGGGGTTTTAAACACCAAATGTTAAAATTGTAATTTTTTTTGTTTTGTCTGGATTTTAGTGTTACACAATAAACATTTATTTATAGGGAAATATTAATGTAGATACCAAAGTGTTACTGTACTGTGTATATATAATACATTACTTTCCAAACATCAGGTTTCTTGTCCCCCTGTTCAGTTAACTATGGTATAATCACAGTTACTCGTCTCTTCTAGCAAAGCCGCTCTTGTACACACAATGCAACATTTTCACACATACAGTTACAAGTCTCTGAAAACCAGTCAAGCCGTTACCTGGCCGTTTATCTCTTCTTATATATCTTTCACAGCCAGACAGAGATCTTTGCTGAGACATTAGAAAAGTCTTAACCTAACCATTAAGTTCTCCGATTGTATTCTTTACCTCTTATGGAAGACAGTGTAGAGGTATTTCAGGAAGCAGAATAGCAATAATGGCAACAATATAGCGTGCCCATGTCTGGAACCTTTTAAAATTGTGAAATATAATATCTGTGACTATAATTTTTGCAGAAACTCTTCCCCTTCTGGTGGCTGATTTTTTTTAGAATACATAAGTCAGCCATTTGTTTGTGTTATTAATTTATTCACTGGATAGTTTAAGATTGTTGTTTTTTTGAGTGCTCTTAAGTTGTCTTTAGGTTACCTCTGGGGAGTGACCATTTTAGGATTGTAATTGACAATTTTATTCATTTTATGAATAGAATTTTTGTATACAGTATTTTATGTTATGTTTTATGTTATTAGTCTGTCTTGGCAGGTCACTCTTTCAGTCACTTTTCTTGGCCAGGGTACATGCAGGTGTTGGAGACTTATAATTGTGAGATAAATATTAATAAATTCCTGCCCTTGGTAAATAATTCTAGGCCTTACTATCCCTACTTGTTTTCATTGATATCTTTCATACTTTGGCCAGTATGACCATTAAACAAGTATTAAATTGCATTCTACGTGGTAATAAAAATGTCTTTAAAAGTAATGAACACAGGTCTTGTCCTGCACCTTAGCTTATTGAGCCACCAAACGCACTTTCACCATGGAAAAGTACAGTGCTAACGTCACTTTAGGGTCTAGATAGATTCCAGTGTGGTCCTTACTCACAGTAAATGTAATTGCATTTAGACTTAGATTACCACCAAAGATTTCAAGCCTAAACACATCAAATGTTTTGTCACATCAGTGCATAAAAACACCTCTCTTTTCCTTCCTCCTCATTCCTTAAGCCTCCAGGTAAGGAGCCTTGTCAGACCAGTCAGACCAGTCAGGTCAGTTTGGAGGGAGACCAGTCTCCGGACAACCCGAGCCCTACCATGCCCTCCCCATCCACACCAATACCTTTTCTCAGGAAGGGGGCAGAGCCAGTTGTACCAACAGACCAACCGATTACGGTGGTCCCTGTTCCCCTACCACGGCAGAATCCCCCTACTAGAAATTCATTGGAGTTGGCTGACAAACTGGCCGATGAAGCCACTCTTGAGTCTGAGAAATCTGAGAGTGAGGGGTCAACCAAGACCTCCAGCTCAGATTCGGGCATTGAGGATGGGAAGAGTACCCCCACATCGGAGGAGGAAAAGGTATCCTTTGAAGTTTTAGATTTTCGAAAATGAAATATTACTATATCTATTGATGGATATTCTGTAAGACTGTGGTGTGTTCAAAGATTGTCTGGTTATAAAACTAAAATTAATTTTTAGGTTGCTGTGGAGACCCCAGAGACAGAACAGCCACCATCTCTCCCCCAGCCGGAGGCATCTGTTGACATCACCATAGACTCAGAGGTGGCCGAGGAGGAGAGCAACGTTGTGGCTAACGGAGGCTTACTAACTCCAAGCTCAAGTCCCGCTGTCACTCCTACACCCTCTTCAGTACCTACGCCCTGTTCTGGTACCCAAGACCGGACATCGACAGGAGGAAATACTGAGACTGTTTCTGCTTATCTAAATGGCGGGATTATCAACAACCGGTACTCTTATTCAGGCAGCATGGCATCAGAGAGCATGGACATGTCAATCTCCAAGGAGAACATCTCATTGAGTGCAAAGGTGAGTCAACATGAAGTACATAGATTACGCTTTTTACTAGTAAGTATCTAGTAACCTGCCTGACCTGTCCTGTGTCAATATTCATTCCCTCTTCTTTTTTTGTACCATAATGAAAATGGCTTTACATAATGGTTTGTTAATGCGGGGAAGAAGTGAGATAAACTTTAGTATTGAAGTGTAAAAGAGGTACAGAAGCAGCTCCCGGCCTCTGTAGGAAAACCCCTCCTTGGAAAAACTATTTCTCGGCACCCACAGAGGAACTGAAACTGCATTGTGTTGTGTTTTGGGGTGTGGGTGTTAACCGTCTGAAAGAGAGGATAGCCTGTCTTCTATTAGGCTACATATTGCATTTAGGGAGGATACAGAGTATGATACTAGTTATTGTCCTTAATCCCTGAGTTTCTCTTTTTAGCTGGTTATAATTCATGGTGAACATGAATTTATTTCGTGAATCTGGGCTGAAGTATTGACACTTAGTATATTAAAAGACCTCTGTCATTAGATGTAAAAGAAAGCTTCTTTCTAATCCAGCGATTTTGTTTTCACTTTTCAGTCCATTTTAACATAATCCATGGGTTTTTAAAGGTTTATTAGCCTAACAAAGGAGAATTCCTGCAACCCATAGACGACATAACAATCACCAGACAGTCCCAGTGAGGAAGGGATGTTATGAAGCTGAAAGGAGAGAAGACAGAGACTATTTTATCATTAGACACCAAGCCTGTCTGAAGCAAAATATGCAACATTTTGCATTCATCAGGACCCACAGTGCCCTTTGTGTGTGGGCACAGTTCAGTATTCACCAGTGTGTATGGATGTTTCTATGCAGCTCATTGTCACTCTGCTGCTTCTGGAGGCTTATGGACTGACCATGATTGAAATCCTATTGACTGTGTGTGGAGTAGTGTCTGTATGTGGTATGTTAAGTTTTTCCAGAACCGATTATTCAGCAGGCGACTCAGCCAGCACCCTGCAGTGAGAGTGAATGGGCTTTCTTTGTTTTGTTGTTTTGGACAGGAGGACACACACATTTGTATGTTTCTGCACAAGTGTGTATGACTGAGAGCGAAAACTGCACGCACACGCTCATGAATTAATCTGTGTGTACGGGAGAGCCGTGTGTGATTTTGTGAATGACGAGTGATGGGAAGTTAGCACAGTCCCGTAGCGCCCCAAACACTAACAACGCAGCTGAGCTACAGAATGACCCTCGTGTCCTGTGATTATAGTGCCAGTGTGCACTTAATAACATACTCAAACACACAGGCACATATATTTATTGCTATTGTAGATGTCTCAGTTGTGTAAAAAGGGAATCAACAGAGCAGAACAGTGCAAACGTAGCTTCTAGTTGCTGTCATCTATGGCAGTAGCCTCACACAGACTCGTATGTAGTCTATTTGATCAGCTGCAGAGGGTTCAGAAGCTTTGTCAGCGTGGACAACAATTTTGCACAAACCAAATGAATTCTTGCTCTTTGGTTCAGTATACTCATCTTCTCTCCTTTATATATAAACTATTTATTATCCAGGAAATTATGACATCCAGGGTTTGAGCTACCCAGTGTTTGCAGAGTAAACCCTGACGTATCAGTCCTATAAATATTGTGCGCAGAGGCTGATTCAGATGTAACCATTCAACAACACAGCTTTGTTTGCCATAACAATTTTGTCTGTTCAATTATGAGGCGGGGTCACACTCTAACTAACTCATATTAAACACAGACCGTATCATATAGAATGACAGTCCCTAGACATTGTTGGATTGGCCTGTGCTGTGATGCTTAACTTAATCTGGGAGCAAAGAAGTAGGGCATGTGCCTGTTCTTGATAGGCCCATGATCAGAAATCGGCTGCTCGTGTTCGGATAAAACCTAGAATCTCCAAAAAGTGATTGTTCCAGTAACTAGGAAAACATTTCTTAACCAGCAGAGCTACAAGTCCTTATGTGAAAACCAACCACATTGACTGGAGATAAAGTAAGCTTTCACCCAGCAATGTTGTCGAGAGTGAAAGAAGCTAAGTCACATCATGTCATATTTACTGGATGAGGTCGTTGTGATTATTAGAGTTCCTTCCTGCATGGCGCTCCCTATTACAGAGATAGATGGAGCATCTTGCTGCTTGTTACAGTAGAACCAGATTGACAGGAATATTAATGCCTTTGCATGCACACACACGCACACACAAACACACACACACACACACACACACACACACATCTGCTTCTCCTTCCTTCAGCCGGATAAAAA